CCGTTTGTCGGTCAGGGACGTGAATCCCTTTATCGGGAATAGGACCATGAGTCGACTGTTGGAAGGTGGGGTGATTTTGAAATTAATTAATGGAAAATTAGATATTTAACAAATTTATTAAAATATAGATGACAAACAAAATGATATAACGGCGCGGTTTAAAATATGACAATTTATAGTTATGCGAATGATTGTATGTGTATGTGTGTCTGTATGTGTGAGAGAAAAGGAAAGAGAGGAAAAAAAAGGAGAATAAGGGGAATTAATAAAATGGTGATAGGAAGGGTAGATAATAAAGAAAGTAAAACTTACTGTTGGTTTCAAAGCAGAGAGAGAGAGAGAGAGAGAGAGAGAAAGAGAGAGAGAGAGAGAGAGAGAGAGAGAGAGAAAGAGAGAGAGAGAGAGAGAGAGAGAAAGAGAGAGAGAGAGAGAGAGAGAGAGAGAGAGAGAGAGAGAAAGAGAGAGAGAGAGAGAGAGAGAGAGAGAAAGAGAGAGAGAGAGAAAGCAACCAAAAGAAAATGTTGCTGATCTGCGTAGGTGTGCAACGCTGTCTCTGTCGCTTTCGGATTTCCAATTTGTCAACGGCGATGTTACACACAACTATGTTTTCTTTTTTTAGGCAGCGGATAATAATTAAATTTCGAAATTAATAATTAAGCAGCGAAATTTTAATATTCCTATGATTCATTGTATTATTCATCGAGAAGCGTTATGTGGGAAAGCTGTGAAATTAAGTAGTGCGATGCAAATGGTGACAAAAATAATAAATTTTATTAAGGGCGGTAACAAATTTCTTTCTCATCGAAAGTTTCAACAGTTTCTCGCAAAGCATAATGCAGCCTACACTACCCCTTTATTGTGAGGTTCGCTGACTTAGTGCTGGTAAATGTTTAGAGAAGTTCTTTGCAATGAGAAAAGAAGTCTTCCTTTTCTTGCAAGAACATTCCATTACAAAATACAAAGAATTTCAAGATTTTTTCACTAATTTAGAATTACTTTCTGAACTCGCAGTAATAAATGACTTAATTACTCATCTCAATTCATTAAATTTAAAGCTGCAAAAGCCGAATCAAAATATTTCTGAATTGATTAGTAGTGTAGATTCTTTTCAGAGAAAATTAATAATACTGAAAAATCATTTAATACAACATATTTTCCATTTCTTTCCATGTTGCCAGATTCTTGCAGAGGAACATAATAAAATTCATTTCAAACGACACATTGACATTCTTGAGTCAATAATAACTCAATTCGAAACACGTTTTAGTGATATCGCAATACTTCGGAATGATTTAATTATTTTTGAAAATCCTGTCACCGCTCAAATTGAGGAACAGAAATTAAAATTTTAAGAGGAACTTTGCCGTCTTCAAACTGATATTTTCCTTAAGGCGCGGCCAGAAAAAGGAATGGATTTTTTTAAGATTTTAAAGCAATCTTCTTATCCTCTTTTAATAAATTTTAGTCTTTGTATTTTTTCTATGTTCGGCTCCACATATCTATGCGAGAGCTTTTTTTCTAAAATGAAATTAACGAAAACGGATAAACGTTCTTCTTTAAATGATGCATCTTTATCCTCTTTAATGCTAGCAAGCATTTCAAACTTTGATGTTGATATTTCATCACTTGTACAGTCGCACAGTATTCGAAAATTGGTTTAATTTCTTCTTCTTTTTAAGTTCCCATTGCCGATCAAAAGTTGCTGTTTTTCTCTTCTTCTTCAGTGGAATAGGCTTACAGGGGATACCATTAAAAAAAAACGCGTCGGCAATAGTACCTCATGGGTGACGCGGAAACCTATTGTGTACCTTCTAATTACAAAAATATAAGAAAAAATATATATATACTTGTACAAGTTTGTACGAAATATTATACATATAGTCGTATCGATACATTTATTTTTCAGCCTTTGAAGTGCGTTAAAGGAGCGCGCTGTCAACGCTAACACGTTATTCTATCCTTATCGCTCATTACATGTACAAGGATTGAATGACGCGTTAGCGCTGATCGACGCGCTCCCCGAACGCATCTTTAGTAGGCAATGCATAGATGCGCCTTATGATCTTAACGGTCCTGAAATCGCGAGCCGCGACTGTCAGTTGCTGGATCCGCCGCGGTAAGAGGAGACGTAGCTCCCGAGAATCGGCCAAAAGTTGAAAACTTTGCCGAGCTCTGATCTACGCCGTGTGATAGGAGATCACACGCTGTCAATCGAAGAATTTACCACTCTTCTTTACCAGGTTGAGGCTTGTCTGAACTCTCGGCCGATCGCACCTCTATCGGACTCATTCGATGACTATCAATACCTGACTCCGGGACATTTTTTAATAGGATCTTCGCTCACTGTTCCTCCTCGTTCCTGAACCCTCGATATTCATGTTGCCCGAAAACCGGTTGTCTCGGTGACAACTTGTTTGCCAGTTTTCCGAACGATTTTGGCGCTTATGGGCGAGTGATTACATCAACATTCTCCAACAACGCACTAAGTGGCGCAAGGTGACTCCGTCGATGCAAATAAGCCGTCTCGTCTTGTTGCGCAACCCGACTCGCGCGCCGTGCAAGTAGGAGCTCGGCCGAGTTAGCCAGGTTCATCCTGGCGCCGACGAATTAATTCGCATCGTCACCATTAAAACCGCCGCGTTAAGTTATGTCCGCCCGATCGGGAAGCTTTGCGTGCTTCCCATTGAATGTACTTCACCGTCGACTTAACGAGTATAATATGTTCATCATGCGTTCCTATTGCTTTAAGTCGTAATTATTGTATCTGTCAATGTTGGCTCAGGGCGGGTGGCGGCTTCCTGCGTTGCGAGCCAACACTTGCCGTTTGATTCATTTTAATTGATTGGCTGCTGGAGCTGTGTGTCGGGTATTTTCTTTTTAAATACGTACCGAGCATTGAACCTACGTTTCAAGGCGGGCGGTATGTTCGCCTGGACCTGTGAGGTTTTTAAAGTTCACGAATATTCTCTCATCCGCTGTTCACGTGAGCCCTGCGAGCTTAGTTTCCGATCACTATTCGGTGTTTCATGCTAGGTTCACGTGAGCAGTGAATCAAACGAGGCTGAAACAGCCAATCCGGCACATACATGTGTTTACCTGTCCGCCGAGAGTTGCCCGGGTATCTCGATGGGAATGTCGTCGCGATTTTCGTCTCGTTTTTAAAACGGCTGCCGGTGGATCGTTATGCGTGTATCACACTAGCGACTGCGGCTGCGGCTGCGATTGCGATTGCGATTGCGATTCTTCTTCGACCAATCAGAAAGCGACTCGCGGCTGCAACTCACGAATGTCGTTTGGACGGCTGTCCATTTTTCGAGTCGCAGCCGCAGTCGCAACCAATCACAGAACTCCGTATAATCACGTGACGCGCTCGTCATAATCACATTTATTTAATAGTATGTAGAAGTTGGTGATCATTAGAATAAGGTTATATCTGTGTTGTTTTATGTGTTATGTATATTTTTTTTTAAATGTCAAAACAATTTAATAAGGAGATAGACTATTATTTAATAGATCTCGTAAAATATAAACCCCTTCTCTGGGATTGTACGTGTAATAGTATGTTAACAGTATTTAACCGCAGCCGCGATCGCCAATCGCAAGTGTGATTGGAAAACAAGAAATCGCAATCTCAATCTCAGTCGCAGTCGCAGCCGCGAGTCGCTAGTATGATACGGACTTTACAACACATTATTTGGTTCTCTCGGAGCGTTAGGCGCCGCGATTCTTCGTGCTTGTCTTTTCGACTTCTTAGCGCAAGCTTGCCGCATGTCGTGCTGCACTCAATTCGATTTTCATTCAGTAAATTTGATTGCACCTTAACGTCAGTCATTACGTTCTCTAGTGCAGACTAGAGTACCTCAAGTCAGAATATGGACATCATTAGTCGATTTTTTATTGGTTCTTTGGACCGCCATCTTTTTTCTTTGGCCGCATAATAGGGAAATAGTAGAGGAAACTTTCTATTTCGTGGGCATGGTTCTATATCTATGAGCGCGTGCCGCACAGTACCACATTATATGCATTTTGGGGACGATATTTCTGCGCAATTTTTATGTAAGTTTTATTACATACAATATTTAATATTAAAATTTTGTTATTATTAAGTAAATTATTAATAATTAAGTCGACTTTTTAGTCAATACTTAACCTTGAACCACTTATGTTTAACTTTATAATCCTAACCTTAAACTCACATGCATATATACATACATATAAAAAAGCTTTGACAATATTTGCTTTATAGAAGTGTAAAATGCCCAGTTGTACAGCAAACAATTGCTCCAACTCGTGGAAAAAACATTTAAGATGTGTTATTTTCCATTGAATGATTCAGAAAGATGTGCAATATAGGTAGCATTTTTTAAAAATTCTCTTGACTGATTATGAAAGTTCAAATTCAATTTTACGTGATTCAGAAATGATTGTTCTAGAATTTTTGCAGGACCGGTTTGTAAAAAAGAAAGCTCTTGAAAAAAGTCATGAAAAAGTGTCCGTATATCCGTACAGGACTTAATGGGTTAAATATACTTCATTTGAGCAGCTCTGTTCATCTACCGATACTGACTTTGATTTACGTCAAAATATAGATGTTTTGTTTTGTTATATAATACAATTTTTTCACTTAACGATCGTAATAGTAAGAAGTAAAGAAAAGAGTAAGAAAATAGTAAGAAAACTAAAACTAATATTAAGGAAGTATTCGAAATAAATTCTAATTATTCGGAAAGTAATTTTGAAATGAAAGAATTTTGCAAAATTGTAAACACAGATATAATACATGATCAATAGAAACATACAAATAACTTACATTTCCAGAATCGAAAATCGTTTATATTTCTGAGAGTATTGCTTTTCCGACTTCTGTTTACTAGATACTTTCTATTCAATATAATGTGCTGTCTATTCTAGAGTGATACATTTTGACTGACTTTTTTTAATATCCTGTGTGTATGTTATGTCTATATGTATTTTGTATCTATGTATAATTATCATTTCAGTTGAACATTTTCATGATGCTTGCATACGTTTCGGTCATCTTGATATGTATTGGTACATATCACCTTATCTTGTATTATCGTAAACGATTACGTTTCATGCAAGCAGCAAACGCTCTACCAGGTCCGAAAGCGTATCCAATTATTGGAAATGCTTACTATTTTTTCCAGACAAGTTTTGACGGTAATATTATCATTTATAAACTTATCGTTTTGTTTTTACATTTTACCATTTTCAAGATGTGATTTTGTTATAATAATATAGAGAAAAGCATTAAAATGAACTTCATAATGATGATTGTTAGCTATTGTTAATTTACATGTATACAATATGTGTTAATTTTACCTACATATTGAAAAACACATATATCCCTAAACACCTGTAACCTAGATTTCATTTTCCAATACTGGCAAACTTAAATTTTGATAAATTTTGTCAATACATGAACGTATACAAGATGTCAGGAAAAGGGCTTTGTCCTTTCTCCTAGTTGTATTTATTTTATTTATTCTTAAATGATTTTTACATGGTGTTTCAAAAATAGGTAGCCAAATTTTAAGAGCATATTCTACTATAAGGATGAAAAAAGTCATGCAAACATGTGGGTCCAGAAACGTAACTTTCTTAAGTTGTAAACAATTTTTATTAAGCATATCGTCAGCATATTTCAGTCGCATTGTTCGAGAATTTTTAAATAATAAATACGTCAATAGATGGATTAACAGAGGAGGTCCCTGTTAGGAATTTTAATAAATTCATTTTTGTGTTTGAATGTTCGCGCGCCTAATGAATATTAGCGTAGAGAAATGTTTTCGAACGCAACGGCATAAATGACATCTTACACATGATTTACAGTAGTTACTTCTTTTGATCTCTTGCTTTCGCTTCTCGCATTTACGAAAGAAAAGAATGGAAAAGAACGGTGTACTTGTTGCGTAACTACAATTTTTCTTGTGGATTGTTCGATCAACTATTAAAATTGCATTCTCTTTCAAACACGCCTGTATTCAATCTCTCGTATTCGCTCGTATTCAGAGAAAGTTAATAATACCTAACATGTCCATTGTTTCGCCTCTTACAAGGGGAGGATGCATCGACCGGGAAACGGTTTGGAACGAAACTTACGGAGTTAATAGTACTTGACTACTAATAACTCATGGTAATAGCATACGACGCAATACCTCTTCGTTTTCGAGAAAAAACGGTCTAAAGAAAAGAGTCAACAAAGTGTAAGTGTTAGTAAGAAGGATATCCAACGAAGTGGCGTAGCGCAGCAGCGAAGGTAACGGACTATCGAGGTGACGGCTGAGGTTCGATCCCTGCTGTATGGTTTTTTTTATTCTGTAAGTATAAAAATGAAACAGAAAACATTAATAAATAATAAAACTGCGTTTCTTAAATATATTAGTGTTTGGTAAATATATTATTAATGATTTAAATTGCAAAAAGACTGTAAATCTTATCTATAAAATATATAGTGTATGAGAAAATTTTTATATAATAATTGCAATGGAAATAGGAATAAAAATATTGTTATGAAATATATAAGAATGCTACTAACCCTTTGCGGTCGATGCCGCCACAGTGGCGGCATTCGTAAGTCGTCGTAGAAGTCGATGCCGCCAGGCTGGCATTTATGATCGCCTGGCGTGCGGCACGGCAAATGAGGCTAGCGATAATGATAGAAAACTATCCTCCCGATGCTAGATTCAAATGTTTAGATCAACTTACAGATATCCATGTTTATCGATCTCTTCGAAATCAGCCGATCGCAAAGAGTAAAACTAGTATGAGATAATTTTTCGTAATCTTATATCGTATATATAAAATATTTATTTCTGTTACAATTCTCTATGTTGTATTGAAGTCGTGTTGTGTTGAAGTTATGTTGTGTCTTTATCTCTTCTGGCAATCCCCCTCCAAAAACTTCCTTTGTGTCATTCTAAACGATCGTTAAGAATGACGAAATGATTCGAGCATCGGAACAGTCGTCAGTAAAGCAAGCAGCAGCGTGCGTTTACTAGTGATACAGAGCAATTCGGTGATCATATTTAAATTACATGTATCATAACAATGTCAGAGAATCCTTCAACAAGCAAAATAGTTGGTGTAGAATTGTTAGAAGAAAGATCTTTTGAAAATGAAGATTTTAAAAGTGAATTCACTAATGCTCTCGTATATGCGAATTCTATTTACGAGAATAATGAATTATTATCGAAAAATCCTCCAGCGAAAATATATATTTTTACTCCTATTTCCATTGCAATTATTTTTATATAAAATTGCAATTATTATTATATAAAAATGTTCTCATACACTATATATTTTACAGATAAGATTTAGGGTTTTTTTGCAATTTAAATCATTAATAGTATATTTAACAAACACTAATATATTTAAGAAACGCAGTTTTATTACTTATTAATGTTTTCTGTTTCATTTTTATGCTTAGAGAATAGAAAAAAAGCCATACAGCAGGGATCGAACATCAGCCGTCACCTCGGTAGTCCGTTACCTTCGCTGCTGCGCTACGCCACTTCGTTGGATATCCTTCTTACTAACTCATACACTATGTTGACTCTTTTCTTTAGACCGTTTTTTCTCGAAAACGAAGTGATATTGCGTCGTATGCTATTAGCATGAGTTATTAGTAGTCATGTACTATTAACTCCGTAAGTTTCGTTCCAAACCGTTTCCCGGTCGATGCGTCCTCCCCTTGTTAGATTTCCATCTCTTAGCTTTTTATTTATGCGAACATCTTAAAACTTTTCTCAGCAAACACAATGTAACATGTAACATACTTGTTAATTGTAATTTCGTACTTAACAATTTAACTGTTATATGACATATGCGTTATATAACAGCTGTTGAATAGGAAATTACAAGTAACAAGTATGTTGCATGTAATAATATGTTTGCTAGGTTGTTTATGAGACCCTGTTGCTATTGTAGAAATCGTATTATCGCTTTATATGACAAAACACAAAATATTCCAGAAATTTTTGAATGTTTTTAACACTTCACGAGACGTCGATGCGAGGTATGCATTATTGCAAAAAGAAATTATTTCCAACAATTTCTTTAATGAAATGTTCTTATCAACGTCTATTGTCAATAGAAAGTGTTTATAACTTGGAAAAGAAGGATCATTCCTAGACCCATGTTTTTATGATCTTTTGCATCCTTACAATGAGTAGAATATGCTCTTAAAGTTTGGCCATCTAGTTCTGAAACCGTATTTATACATCAACAATTAAGTTTTAAACGTAAATATTAGCTATAAAATTATTAGAATCTCTCTTTTTTAATAATTTTCAATAAACAACAATAACAAGTACTGAGACTGAAAATTTACTAACTACTACTCACAGTAATAACTATAACAATATGTATCACAATTATTGAAATCGGTAAATGGTTCCCGTCTCTTTACTTAATTATACAATATTTTAATAAAAGGAAACTATATATGTAATATTATTATTTCATGTTAAAATTATATGACGTTTATTATATTCTTTTTAATTTTTTTATTATATTCTTTATAATTTTAATACAATTAAATAGACAACTGCTTCATTGTAATGTACTTCTCAAGCATAAAAAGTTTCAGATTTACTGCCCTGTCTGTATAAGCTTATGGATATTTATCCTTCTCCATTTCGATTATGGATGGGCAATAAGTTATTTATTATTATATCCGAACCAGACCAAGCAAAGGTAAAAGAATACGTATTTGTTAATTTATTTCTAAATGAATCATGTACAAACTAACTATAAAATTGTAATATATCATTGCTGCTTTCTAATATATCAAAAGTATGTTTAATACCAGGTTTGTAAATATGAAACCGGAATTTGCCTATAGATGGCCCTAGCTGTCAATGTAGTTACCGTCAAACCGCGTCATTGGCGCCATTTCCATTTGTTGACATCTGACAAAGATTTTCAACTCACAACAATACAAGTTTCATACAACAGCATAGTTTGTAATAGCGTTGAACATGTCGAATTTTGTGCCTGGAAGCTACGATTTGCGGACAGCAAATGATTTTTTGTTACCATTTGAAGAAAATTGCTGCAGAATCGCATCGAATGCTTATCGAAGCTTACGGTGAGCATGCTCTTGGTAAATCACAGTGCTTTGAGTGGTTTAAAAAATTCAAACGTGGCGATTTTGAGAAACGAAGAACGTGGAAGACCACCGAAAAAATTTGAAGACAGCGAATTGCAAGCATTGTTGGATGAGGATGACGCTCAAACGCAACAACAACTCGCGGATCAATTAAATGTGACACGAGAAGCCGTCTTCATACATTTGAAAGCCATGGGAAAGATTCAGAAGATGGGAAAATAAAATTCCACATGAATTGAATGAAAGACAGCAGGAAAACCGAAAAACCACTTGCGAAATGCTGCTCGCCAGGTACAAAAGAAAGTCATTTCTCCATCGAATTGTGACTGGCGATGAAAAGTGGATATATTTTGAGAATCCTAAGCGTAAAAGATCATGGGTAACTCCAGGCGAACCATCGACATCGACTGCAAGGCCAAATCGCTATGGACGGAAGACAATGCTCTGTGTTTGGTAGGATCAGAAGGGTGTGATCTATTATGAGCTGCTAAAACCTAGCGAAACCGTTCATACTGAACGCTACCGACAACAAATGATCGATTTGAATCAAGCTTTGCGTGAAAAACGACCAGAATATCAAAAAAGGTAACACAAAATGATTTCGCTTCATGATAATACACCATCACACACAGCAAAACTGGTCAAGGAAACGATTGAGGCGTTTAGTTGGGAGATACTTTCGCATGCGGCTTATTCACCAGACTTAGCTCTGTCCGATTACTACTTATTTGCATTGATGCGGCACGCACTTGCTCAGCAGCGCTTCACTTCTTACGGAAATATACGAAAGTGGCTCGATGACTAGTTTGCCTCAAAAGAGCAACAGTTTTATTGTCGTGGCATCCACAAATTGTCAGCCAGGTGGGAAAAATGTATAGCTAGCGATGGGCAATATTTCGAATAAAATATTTTTTTATCATTTTCATACAATAACCGTGTATTTTCTATACAAAAATTCCGGTTTTATATTTACATACCTGGTATATCAAAAGAAACGTATCAAAAGGTCAACCAACTAACAAGTGAAAGAAAAGCTTGAATAGAATATATAATGTATACTGTTACCCACGACCGACTCCGCGCGTACCGAGTTTACGAAAATAATTATAATTCGTTCAGGAAGAACTATTATTATTTTATAATAACAGAACTCTTTTCAAGCATACAAAAGCTCAGGTTTTCACGCAAAATTCTTAAGATCGTTGTCAACGTTTCTCTGTCAGCTGATCTCTCCTTTATTGGTTGATTCCGTCGTCCAGACAATCCTTCTTCAGTTGTTCAATCGATCAAATGCTTTAAGGCTCGCGGACAACGGGACGCTGCCACAAACCTTGTGTCTTGGATACAACAATACGTATACATAGTGTGGATAAAAAGTTTCGGACTTTTTCTCATAAACAAAATCTCATAAACAAAAGAAAGTAAGGTAAAAAAAATGTTTATTAGTAATTATTCTATGATCCCTGTAAAGCTATACAATGCTGTTCAATGTGCTCTGCCAGCCGCTCCAAAGCCAGCCGCTGAAAATCTCTTATTGCAATGTTTCGTAGCTCCTTCATTACGTTATCTCCTCTTATGGAAAAGAAACTCAAAAATACACTCAAAATAATATTCAATTTGCGCGTAAATTCGAATATTCAATTAAGTATAACCCAGTCAGAACCACAACGTGGATCCGACGTCGATGAGGGTTCAATTAACGTTGATTCAAAGGTTCACCGACCATATCAACGTCAAATCAACGTCGAATCGATGTTATTCCTTACGGAAAAACATTCGAATATTGAATTGAGTGTTTATATTCAATTGTTCAAATTTATCCTCAAATATACACTCAAATTTGAGTATATATACCCACATTTGAGAGTAAATTCGAACAACTGAGTATAAATACTCAATATTTGAGTGTTTTTTCATAAGAAATGTTTCTGACTATAATATTCAACTTGAGTGTAACCCTCAACTTGAGTGTGACGTGAGTGTTATCCTCATCTTGAGGCCTGTGATTATGCCTGTGTTATTCTCGACTTGAGAGTTAGTTTAAGTTACTCTACAGTTGAGAATAACACTGAAATGAGTACTGAAATTCAGAATAACTTTGAAGTTAATTCTCAAGTTAAAGATACCATTGTATTAGGTTGGGGAAAAAGAAATCTATTATTTTTCCGCTAGATGGCTTTAGTGGTTATATATCACGTTGATGTATTAATCGCATAGGTTAAATATTTATTACTCGTTGGAAAAGTGACATTCCGTACTAAAAAATTCTTTAACGGTTTGTGATTTGTCGATTAAGTTTTTGATAAGCACTTCGGAAAAGATGTACGTCAACAAAGAAGAAAATTCGGGATATTTTTACAATTTTGCTTCGATANATGAAACCGAATTTGCCCATAGATGGCCGTAGCTGTCAATGTAGTTACCGTCAAACCACGTCATTGGCGCCATTTCCATTGGTTGACATCTGACAAAGATTTTCAACTCACAATAATACAAATTTCATACAACATAATTTGTAATAGCGTTGAACATGTCGAATTTTGTGCTTGAAAGCTACGATTTGCAGACAGCATTGATTTTCTGTTACCATTTGAAAACTGCTGCAGAATCGCATCAAATGCTTGTCGACGCTTACGGTGAGTATGCTCTTGGTAAATTACAATACTTTGAGTGGTTTAAAAAATTCAAACGTGGCGATTTTGACGTGAGAAACGAAGAACGTGGAAGACCACCGAAAAAGTTTGAAGACAGCGAATTGCAAGCATTGTTGGATGAGGATGACGCTTAAACGCAACAACTTGCGGATCAATTAAATGTGACACGAGAAGCCGTCTCCATACGTTTGAAAGCCATGGGGAAAGATCCAGAAGATGGGATAATGGGTTCCACATGAACTGAATGAAAGACAGCAGGAAAACCGAAAAACCACTTGCGAAATGCTGCTCGTCAGGTACAAAAGAAAGTCATTTCTCCATCGAATTGTGACTGGCGATGAAAAGTGGATATATTTTGAGAATTCTAAGCGTAAAAGATCATGGGTAACTCCAGGCAAACCATCGACATCGACTGCAAGGCTAAATCACTATGGACGAAAGACAATGCTCTGTATTTGGCGGGATCAGAAGGGTGTGATCTATTATGAGCTGCTAAAACCTGGCGAAACTTAATACTGAACGCTACCGACAACAAATGACCGATTTGAATCAAGCTTTGCGTGGAAAACGACCAGAATATCAAAAAAGACAACACAAAGTGATTTTGCTTCATGATAATGCACCATCGCACACAGCAAGCTGGTCAAGGAAACGATTGAGGCGTTTAGTTGGGAAATACTTTCGCATGCGGTTTACTCACCAGACTTGGCTCCGTCCGATTACTACTTATTTGCATCGATGGGACACGCACTTGCTGAGCAGCGCTTCACTTCTTACGAAAATGTACGAAAATGGCTCGATGACTGGTTTGTCTCAAAAGAGCAACAGTTTTTTTGGCGTGGCATCCACAAATTGTCAGACAGGTGGGAAAAATGTATAGCTAACGATGGGCAATACTTCGAATAAAATATTTTTTATCATTTTCATACAATCAACGTGTATTTTCTATACAAAAATTCCGATTTCATATTTACGTACCTGGTAATAAAGGCAAATCAATCAATCTCTCTCTATCTCTCTCACAATCTCTCTCTCGCACTCAATCACTCTCACACCCTCCCCTCCCTCACACACTCCCTCCCTCTCTCTCTCTCTATCTATCTATCTATCTCACGCTCTCTCTCTCTCTCTCTCATACTCTCTCTGTCTCTGTCTCACACTCTTTCTCACATTATCTCCCTTTCACACTTTCTCTCTCACACTCTCTTTCTCTCTCTCTCATACCCCCCTCTCTCTCGTGCTGTCTCTCACACTCTCTTTCTCTCACATTCTCTCACACTTTCTCCCTCGCACATTCTCCCTCTCGCACTCTCTCTCTCTCTCTTTCTCTCTCACACACACACTCTCCTCTCTTTCACACTCTCCCCCTCTTTCACTCTCTTCCTCTCTCATTCTCCCTCCCTCCTTCCCCCCCTTTCCCTCTCTCTCATGACAATTTCTCTCTTATACTCTCTCTCTCCCTTTCACACATACCCTCTCGCTTTCGCATATCCTTTTTCTCACTCCCTCTCTCACACTATTACTCTCTCACACTCTCCCTTTCACACTTTCTCTCTCTCTCACTCTCATTCTTTCCCTCACGCTCTCCTCGCTTTCACACTCTCCTCCCTCTTATACTCTCACCCACTCACTCTCTCTCTTTCTCCCTCTCTCTCTGATGAGTCGGATGTGTTGAGCATCGCTTCGTGATTGTCGCTCGTCTTGAGTGGTTTAAAGTGACAAAATTACTGTAAATTTGTGTCTATGTTGTGAGTGCATAGACTGGTGATTACTGGGAGTGATATCTAGCCGGGACGTGCTAAATTGCGGGCGTAGAACCTAAATTTATTCCTTGGAATCTTCGGGTCCGCCTGATAGACGAACATAAGACTATTGACATGTGAGTCGCGGTATACGTGGACTCTGTGTTGACATGTGAATCCCGATATGCGTGGACTTTGTGTTGACAGTACAGCTAAGAAGCGGTTCTAATGTCGATAATAGAAGAACAGTATCCTGAATATAAATGCGCTGTGTATAAAAAGGAAATAAAAAGTAATGTTAGTAGGTGTAAGAACTGTAATAAAATATTTCTTCATCCGGGATGTGTGTCCAAGCATAAAGTGTATAACAAGAATAATGAACTGATACCATGTATTGGTCCGTATGAAAACTTTTCAGTGGATGGTGATATAAATGCAGATATGAAGAAAGCTCCAACCATGTCAAGGAAGGGGAGAGGTAGGCTAAGTTCAACAGGATCTAATGGATCATTGGAACCTACTGCAGAGGGACAGAAATCATCCGGTCTTGATTTAAAAATTTACTGGATTGTTAAAGCAATCAAATAGATGAGAGATGAGGTAGTTCGTAAAAAGGAAATCAAATTGATGATTAAGGAGGTAGTACAAGAAGAAATAGGCTATTACAGACAAGAGTTGAAAGAACTGAAGCAAAAAATTCAAGGAGGAATAGTTGACCAAATTAGTGGAGCTGGAGGTTCAACCCAGAGGAGCTACTGCAGTGTGGTGAAGGAGAGGAAGAAAGAAAACATCCTAATTGTCAAACCCAAGGTGGAACAGGAAAGTGAAGTTACCAAAAAGTTGGTAAAAGAAAAAGTAAACATCAAGAATATGGCAGTGGGAATAACGAAGTTAAGAAAAGGAGGTAAAGGTACAATTGTAATGGGTTGTGAAACTGGAGAAGAGATGGAAAAGCTGAAGACTACAGTACAGGCCCAGCTGGGAGAAAACTTCCAAGTTACTGAGCCACAGAAAAAGAAACCCAATGTTAAAATAGTTGGTATTAGTGGAGATGAACTGAAATGGGATGATGATAACCTAATAAATATAATCAAGAAGCAAAATAGTATTGCTGGTGACATACGAGTAGTAAAGCGAATAGTTAATGGAAAACCAGGAAAAAGAGAAAAAAGAGATGGTTCGATAATAATCGAGACAGACGAACAGACCCATGAAGATATGCTAAGAAGAAAGAAGATGAATCTGGGATGGAGAAAATGCTTGGTGTTTAATTACGTCAGTGTGAAGAGATGCTTCAAATGCTGAGGTTATTATCATATGGCAAAGAATTGGGGCTTCCGTTTCCGGCGGCGTAAAGTATAGGAGAGGGTTTCTAGTAGAGTGAAAGGAGGAGAGAAAAGGAGAGTGTAGAGGACAGAATTGGAGGAGGGGGGGAGGAGAGAGTGTGAAGAGAGTGAGCGGTAATGGAGGTGAGTGGAGGCGAGAAGGGAGAGAGAGAGAGAGAGAGAGAGAGAGAGAGAGAGAGAGAGAGAGAGAGAGAGAGAGAGAGAGTGGAAAGGGGGTGAAAGATACGGGTGAGAGAGTGAGGTTAGGGACGGCTAGAGAAGAGCAGGGAAAGAGAGTTTATAGAGGGGAGAAAATAAGAGAAAGGATACGGCCAAGGAGTATAGGAGCAGATAGAATAGAGGCAAGAAGGAGAAGGAACGACATCTGTAGGAGAAAGGAGGAAGGAGGAAGAGAAAGGAGCGAAGTTTAAAGGAGAGAAAGGGGAAGATAAGAATGGAGGAAATAGGGAAAGAAGAGAGGAGTAAGGGGGAGGGAAGAAAAGGGAATGGAGGGGAAAGAGGGGAGGAGGGAGGGAGAAGAGGGAGTACGGGAATGATAGGGGAAATGTGGAAAAGAAAAAGAGAGAAGGAGGAAGAGATGGGATTTATGAAAAGTAGGAAGACAGTGAGGTCACCAGTAAAA